TTATTGAAAGCCTATTTTGTCATTTTAAAATTGATTATTTTGTTTTAAGATACTGGGCAATTACTGTGCTTTGATGTGGGCAATTAGTGTAAGTAATGGGCAATGACTGTACTTTTTGGAGGATTTTAAATTTATTTCAATATTTTCTAAGTTACGTAAGTTTTAACTAAAATCTTTTAATATTCTGTTTAACAGTTTATTGAGTTATAAGAAAAAAGTCATAAATGGTCGATAAATTAAAATACTTTCTTTAATTTTTCATCTCAATGTGTTTGAAATCCTTAAGTGGGCAATAGCTATACGGTTTACCCTATTATTCAGTCATCATTACACACGTCATTAATTTTGGCCTAATGAGGTCGGTGGACCATAAACGTAACATTAAAGAAGCTAATAAACATTCTTAAAAACAATTTGATCAATCTTTTCAACACATGAGTATGATATTAGATACTTTGTAGGTATAAACTTATCACATAAAAATGAACCCAAATATTTATAGTGCTTAGATTCAGCTGGTTCCAAAAGCATGAAGAGTTTATTGTAAACTCCGAACATTTCCCGAAACCCTGTCTGATGGTCACCGTAGTTCTAAGTAAGCTGTGTTGAATGAGGCGCACGCGCCGCATGCCAATATGAGGTCGTGAAAGACGCACTCCAGGAAAACGCAAGGTAATTAGAAATACCATTCATCATGTTAACGCCTGAGTTGATTAGGCCACATCATGGTAGCCATTAATGACGGCCACATCTTGTGGAAAAAAATTTTTATACATGCCGTCTTTTGCGTCGATTTACGAAATCAACAGGCTGAAAAAGGCTTCTAAGTAACCTACCTTGTTCCATAAACCTATGTTTATGTAACAAGGAGAAGTCTGAACTCTGAAGGAAACTATGCTATGCTATAACTATCGAACTATGGACACATTGGTTAACCTTTAAAAGTAGGTAAGTATTTTTTCTAGGCACTATCTATAAGCCTATGGGGCAGTCCGCTACTGAAAGTATGTCTCTCCCAAAGGGCACCAAAGGATGTATAAACCTACGCTTTTTCATTCAGGCACTGCTAGCTATCTTCTGAACTACTTTACGTTTGATAATGGGTTTTTCTTCTGTAGAAACTACTCCATCCGAGAAATCTCCATCTTTCATAGGCTCCGCAACTAAAGTATATCAAACTCTATATCAATTACCAACGGAATCCTTACACTAACACTCGTTACTTCCATATCGACTTACTAATTAGGATGTTAACAGCTAACGCGAACAAAAACTAAAGATACCCGACGAATGCACCCCAGCTGCATTTGATTACGTTGCGGCAATGCAACGTTTAAACCAGCTATTTTTACAGCCATCCGCTATATAAAGGTAGATTCACATTTATGTGGGGCGTTCGCGGGGCGTACGGCATTTATTGAGACAGAGATGTCCTAGTTTGTCAAATAAGCTGCTTAAACGTAATAATGTATACTTAGTTTTTATAGTAGTTATAAGTAGAACCATATAGGGATGTATTAAGATGCTAATATATGGTTTAATGGTAGCGCCATTTTATAAAGAGTATTTTTTATAAAGAGCTTAGCACGTATTATAAAAGTTTATGTAACAAATCCATACTTAATCCCTTATTTAAATGAATTAACACCTACAATACCTACACGCGAAAATAACTCTTTTTATTATTTTGTATGTAGCGTTAAAACACGCAAACATCGCTGAAAGCAGCTATAATAAAAATAAGGATATAGTAGGTAAGTACTTCGTCCAAAAGAAAAATTCACCAGCTAAATAGAGCATGAACTATTCTTTAAATCACTCTTTTACCAAAATATTATTTTACTGAACTATGACGCCTTTTCATTGCAGTATTAAGTATATTGACTTTCTAATAAAGGAGGTTAGCAACTATTCCAAACAAAAGTAAAGACTGCAACGCTTGCAGCTGCTCTTGATTTCATTATGCGGCTAATGCAGCGTAAACCAGCTATTTTTACAACCCGTCGCTTCCACAATTTGCCCTGCCTTAGTATTTTGAATGGGAATTAAGCTGTAAAACATTTTATACTGAGATTTAGGAAAGGGATACAACTTTGAAATTTATTGTGTTCTGTTCGAGTGAACTTTACTGCCACAAAAAGTTTTGGGTGTCGCGATAAACACCAACATTTTTATTTGACTTGCAAAACTTTAAGCCCTTTTTGTTGCCAAAAGAATACAGTTTATTTATCTTCACACAAATGCTCTTCTATTTCCTATCTTTTTTCATTGCTAGAAAATATAATCTTAAAGATTCCGAGAAAATTATTATAGCCTTGTAATATATTACCTACAACCATTCCTACTACAACCTTTTATACTAAAACTTATCAAAATAAATTCGTGATCTAGACGTGATTTACTTTCTCACTAAGTAATTATATAGGACAAGGATTAAAGTTATTTATATCGCAGGTTCTTTTAAGATGGAGGTTTTTACAAGCCCTGGCTTAGAACCATTCATTCTTCTTTTATAACCCCGGCCTGCCTAGGTGGTCTTTGTAATATCTTTTATAAAAACTGTAAGATATTATAAAGTAGGAAGCTTTTAATAGACGTCGGACTTATAAATTTTATGTTATGTATTAAAAATCAGACTTAAGATAGTTTTACTAGACTTTCCTTGTAACAAAAACTAAAGTTAAATTAAATTAGGCACTTAAAACATGAAAATGTAAGTAATTTTTCACTATTTGATGCAAAATTAACTAGAGTCATTGCTAAGAGATACTGAAACTGTGGCGTCTCACAAAATCAATCAATAATACCTTACAGAACTTATATTTCCGAATCTAATCCAAAAATACCTCAGATAATTCCCGAGTAAAAAACACCGTATAATTCTAAATTATTTACATCCAATTCCCAAATTACTAATACATTAGTATTAAAATGTAAATAATTCTGACGCAACCTTGTGCGCCGACACGAGCCGATAATCGAATAATCGGTAATAAATCGGATCAGAAATAGATGAAAGCGTATCGAGTGAGCACGGGACATCCGACGAGATTCGAATCGATTACAGTTGCCCTGTAAAATCCAATAGGCCCTAAACTAATTTAGGAGGCCTTTTACTTTTTCATGCTGATAAATTCGTAAACTAATGCTGGTATAGAACTAGGCTCCAAACTACGAGTAGACTCAAAATCAAGCATCTATATTCATGCCTTGATTGCTTGAAGTCTGTTACTAGGTACATATTTAGACAAAGAATCTAGTTTTGAATGTAAATTGACAGTACTTGTGCGTTATTACTCAAATAATACGTGCCTTAATTTCTTATTTTACTTAACTATTTTTATAATTATTTTACATTTAGATTTTCAGGTGATAAGACAAATAAATTGAAAAAATACTTTCTATATGAGGAGATTAATTAATAGCCAATAGCTACGTAAGCACATAAAATTGCCTATGAGTAAAGCTTATTACAAAATTAGTCCAGAATTACATGTGATGAAAATCCGAAGTTTTGTATTTGAAATTCAACACACTCAAAACAAAAGTAGGGAATGAGACAATGACACGAAATTTCATTAATTATAACTTTTGACGGTACAAAGGTACGCTTAAAATGAATTCCTGTTTCCGTACAATTTGGCCAGAATCGTTTCCTCTTGCCACGAGGACGATGTTATTGTTCACACAAGTTTGTAGAGCGAAATATTACAAATGAAATATAAATAAACAGGAATCCAAACGGGAAGTTCAAGGCACGAGAAATTACAGGGTCGCTGTTGTAAGAGAATGAATGAGCCATTTGTGTCGTACTTTGTGGGACTGAAAATCAGTACGACTGAAACACAGCGCGAAATTGAAATGCGAGCGACAAATTGCGTAACTTCATGATATGAACTTTGCGTTAAAGTTCATTTTGTTGGGAGAGTATTAATGAATATACTATCTATGTATAAATATAACATAGGACACTAAAAAATGTTATATTTGCATTTGATTTTACACAATATTTTTTTTTCAAGCATAATAACTATTGACAAAACTAGTTTCAACAATGATTCTTGAGTAGTAAAGGAATTATAAACGAAAGATATCAGAGTTACATATCTTTTTTATTGGCACTGTTTGTCAGTGTTTGTAGGCAAGTACCAAAGTAACTTAAAAATGTAGAGCCCTCATTTCGAGTACAACGTTTTGAGGACATCGATGCACTTGAAGATAAAGGTTTAAAAATAAAACTAACTTAACTCTTGATACATCAATTAGTCAAAGAACTTTATCATCCATCTTTCAGTTATCGTGAGCGTTCCAGAAACAATTATAATACCTAAATGCAAATAAGGAAAAAAACATCAAAACGCAATGACGGAGCGGGATTCTGACTTATCAGATCCAGTGCCAGTCTGGCTATAAATAACGTTTTTCCAATTAATAATGAACTTTATTTTGTTTTTCAGGTTTACTGACTGATGAGAGTGAAGGTCACGACCTTCAATTAAAGTTAAAAGGTATTCTAGAAGTATTTACCAGGTAGTACAGTTAATCAAATTATGAACTGCACTAATGGACAAGAATAGCTATCCATAGAAATTTAGATGAATGAGCGAGTTATGTGTCAACGACAAATTTTGGTTGTAACAGCCCCCTTAGACAAATTTATCGAGAAAGTAGAAATTCCAAAATCGGTTTGCTCTGTAATGCTATCACAAAATTGGTTCTGTCTTGAAAGACATCTATGGGTGAGCTGAGGTGAGGCTCGCTTGAGTGCGAGTCAACCTGATACGGCGCTGCGGACAAATGTCCAAGCTAGGACAGTAATTCGCGGCTCCGTTTCGTTGGTCTCTGGTGGATCCCGTCAAGTTTTAGTGGCCCCGCGTTTTATTGTAATATGGTTGGAGGGTTTTAGTGGTCCCACATAACCCAGTGGTCGTCCACATCGGCTAGTGGGCATGCACAAAGCATTTCCCGACGTAAAAAAGGTATAGTGAATGAGTACTTACAGATGTGCCAACTCGTGCGCAATGACGAAGGCGCTGGTGAGCCCTTCATCGCGGTCGATGGCTGCGGAGCGCGTTCGGGAGCATACACCCCCCACGGGGGCGAAGCCCGAGGGCCCGCCTAACTGCGCGCGAGTCAGCCACACTGTCGCGTCCCAGCCGGTGCTTTCTGGAAGATGGGATATGGGTAAAATACTTACTTTTAGGATGCACAAAGACTACAATAACAAGGATGAGGCCAGAAGACCATCAAGGAGGAGGTTTCGCTGCATATTCGGAGATTTTTTCTACAACTGAGTAAAATTTTGAGAGAAGCAGTTTGACTGGACAATATTGTTAATACTCGTAGAGAATTGAGAAGCTTACGGTAAAGTAAGCAACTAATTTTAAGTTTAACTTTGTAAAGTTTGCGAAATTCGAACGTGTAAGCGAAGAAAATAAGTTAGGTAATATTAGTTCTACCTTAATAATGTTAATGCCTTGTACTAACTTTCGCGAGTGAACTTTATAACTCTTATAGCACACGCCAGGTGCGGAGTGACACAGTTACTTTAGGTAGCTTGATTTTAAAAACGTGAACGTAATTTACTACAGTTAAGCGTAGCAAGCGAATCATTATGATTAGCGATCATTGTCTTATTTTTCACAGTATTTTGGATTTAGTTTATTTACTCTGAATCAACATACATATATAGCAAAAAACCTGAGTACCTAAGTATGTTGATGAATTTCGGTTCTTCTAGATTACCCCACAAATTGTTCGGTAAATAATTATCAGATATTGACGAAATTAAAGTTTCTAACTTAACGCAGCCGTACTTACGTAAAAGTAGGATTATAAAAAGTTGTAAATACAATAAAAACATATATCATTACAAAAGTTATATAAGCTAGATCGTTTTTCTTTGCGTTCATCGGTGTCCTATCAATTGTATTATGTATTAAAATTTGCTGATAAGAAAGAATTTAATCCCTCGTCATATTACGATCGCGATCGGATGCGTGTAATTATATTGTCTAATAAGACTTAGTAACTCCAAAGAAATGCTTTATACCTAATGAAGTTGTGAAATGCCATTAAAATGTGTTGAATTTTTGAATGATTTGAATATTTTTATTCAAAAAATTCTAATAAAAGTTTATGGGTTTTGAGTTTTAAAAGAAGTTCAATGACCTTCATTATTTTTGGATGAGATCGAAGTAGTATCGTTCAACAGTCGATGTAATCAATTACATCTGTTTATTCACAAAACGTATGATGTCACTTTTAATTTTCTGCTAAAGTAGGAAATGACTCCATATAAGAGTTTGTGCCTTTACTATGATTTGTAGGTACCGTAAAACGTTGATTTTAGTGTCATTTTTGTGACGTCTCGTAACGTAAGCACCTACTAATTAGACGACAGTACATCATGTGGCCGTAGCCGTATAAGTAATGCTAAATGTATTGTTACTTTATCATGGGTGAGTAATGTAGCAGACAATTGATATGCGGACATGATAACCATAACAGTAGATAATTATGGCAGCATCTAGAACTAAATATGACAGCGAATGAGACCATGTATCACTGCGCTATAGTGTCGCAGAGATAGGCCGGCCGCCGCTGCATAGATAACACTATGCGCGTGATTTATGCACCAACTGTGTATGAATTCGGTCATTTATAATTTTAGATTATAAAGAAATGCAAAACTTACCAGCGGGTAGCCTCATCAAGTGCCGATAGTTCCATTTATTCACAGCTTCCAAAGATTTCTTCACATTCCCGAATTTTATAATAGGATCTTTCTCTTCGTACAAAAACAGTTTGTTGATAACGAGTGTTATGTTTGCATCCAACGACGGGTCGTTAAAGATAGCACTGACCTACAAAGTGTTACATAAAAATTGAGAGACGAGAACCAGACACTAAAAGCATTGCACCAAAATAAACGTGTACTCGTTACACACTGTCGGCCCGGCGGGCATACTTACGATGTTCATTAAAGCTAAAATGTAGTGCTTGACTCTCTCGCGACCGTGGAACTTCAGCATCGTGTGATCCGCCACTATTGCCATTTCGAGCCACAATCCGTTCACACCTGAAACATTCAACTGCTAGAGCCAGATCTTGTCGCAACGAAGCTCGTGGTAGAGTTCGCTACACACCTGACACGGGGCGAGTGACCGGGCGCACATCGCGAAAGTATTCGGTGTCCGAGTGGTCGCTGTGTCTCGGGCGCACGTGCGGTGTCGGTTCATCATCTTCCTCGAAGTCAAGTTCAAGATCGGCGACCGTGTCGCCGGTGAGGTTGTACTGGGCCGGCCGTTCCGACCACAGCACGTCGCGCCGGCGCAGCACGTGCGTCGAGCCGGGGCTCGTGGGCTGCAGGACGAACTCCTCGTTTCCGACTTGGAGCAGCCCGTAGAGCTGGCCGTCGCACTCGGTGACGGTGACGGAGGACTGCTCCTCGTGGAGCACTCGTCCTCGGTAGAACTGGCACTCGTCGTAGTAAGGGGATCGGATGGCGCGGTTTTCTTGGAGCTCGAGGTGCCAGCCGAGGATGTGGAGGTGGCGGGTGGCGTTGCCGCGGGAGCCGGGGCGCGGCGGGCTCCAGGCGCCGGCGGTGGCGAGCAGCATGGCGGCCGTCAGCCATCGCGGCATCGTCCGCGCGCCGCCGCGGGCTTGGGCTCTCTGGGCAGCGTCGCGCGCGTCGCTGCGCTCACGCATCTACGCACATGGCGCGCGTCTCGCCGCACGGAAGGTAAACGACTCCGCGCCTCGTAGATTGCATGAGCTACGCATGCGTCATTAGTAAACAAAGGGCGAGCTCCCGTTTTTGTTTTATAATCGCACAAGTTATGGAGAACGTTGATAAGTATTTGTAATAAGATATCGACACGTGTTCTTGTCGCATTATTATAAACAATATTCCTAGTAAAACAAACTGAAGTGCTTCCGTATATATTTTATCCGTAATATAATCTGCGCGTATTACGCGGTGTATTCTTTGTCATTCATGCGGTATTCTGCAATAACACAAGCGAACATACCAAAGAAACAAAAGATTTCGTTAACATTCTCTTAAGACAAAAGTCTCCTCGGCGTTCTTTTTTCCTTTATATTGCTAGCTTTTGTTCTAGTTTTTATTGTTAAATATTTTTGTTGCAATACGAAAATATGCTTTCTTGCAAATTAATTCGAAGTGTTAGAATTTTTTTGCAAATATCGATGTTTGGTGATTAAAAAGGACTAAAATCTCGAATCGCGTAAATTACCCTATAACCTTTGAATATTTAAAATACAAGCATAGTTCGAAACTAATTCATTGAATCAGTATCATACAACACGTGTTGTATAAAAGTTGTATTACAATAAAATGTAAGCAAAAAACTTGATTTAGTATCATTATGGAATGACGAATCTAACGGTAGCGCCCACGTCAAATCCGTCAAATCGTTAGTAGGTAGTACGTAACTCGTAGTCAGGTCAGTATGAAAAAAAAATCTAAGTCGGTAGGTATCCTTTTAAACAATGGAGGTCTCTAGTCAGTAAAAATAGTAATAGTAACTGATTTTCATCACCGTAATGTCAAGTATTATTTTCTTAAACAATAGATACGAATAAATTTATTAATATGTACTTACTAAATAAAATGGAATGTAAATATTTTAAAATAATTTACTATACTCAGCGGCGTTTTATTGTTTCATTCACATCCGATATTTGACACATGGTGGCACTTTCTCTTTGTAAGTGTTTAATGGGATTGTTAATACCCACACGCGGCGAGCAATTTCAAAGAAACAAAGCGAATACGTTTAAAAATACCTACTAATGTAAGCCCTAATTTGTTTTTGGGACATTGTTAACATACAAATAATGTAGAGTATAGTCCGCACCAATAATAAACCCTTCGAGCAATTTTTGTACCACATAAACCGAAATAAAATTAAAAAATATTAACATCATCATCATCATTTCAGCCACAGACGTCCACTGCTGAACATAGGCCTCACCAGCATAATGCCAGGTTGGTAGCGGCCTGCATTCAGCTCCTTCCTGCTACCTATATGAGGTCGTCGGTCTACCTTGTGGGTGGACGTCCTACGCTGCGCTAAATCTTTAAAAAATCATTAAAGTTATTTATTTTTTAACCGACTTTAAAAAAGGAGGAGGTTCTATGTTCGCCTGTATTGTGAGTAGTTTTATGCTAACAACTGAACATTTTATGTATCTAGTAATTTAAGTAAACTTAGCTTTCTGATTACAAATTATAGTAATGTTGAGGACACTGAGACATTTCAACTTCAGTTCGGGTCGAGTTTTATCTCACTATTTTTTACAAAATTGCTAGTTTGTTTTGATGCGGATGGGTTAAAACCTTCATTTGTTTACCGTAACGGGCACGGTAGCTTTAGAAGTTTAGTTTATTTGAATAGTAATACACATATTTACTAAGAACTCTATTCCACGGAAATGTCGATCGTACACGGTGTTTGGATACGGGCGGTCTGCGATGTAAACAGAGCTATTTTTATACATTCACAATTTAAACGTAAAAGGCATGTCCTTTTTTATGGGACCAGCATTAATATTTGATTGCCGTCAAAAAAGTTTCAAAGACCTAAAATAATTGCGACTAATGATATACCTAGATGAAATCTTCAGAAAAGGGAAAATTGTTTCTTAAACTGGGGTTAGTGGGATGAATTTGAAGGTCAGATAAAGTTCTATCATACTACCTCAGCAACTTTAATTTATTATTATGCCAATCTAAATAAATTATTTTTACATAATGTTGCTCTACATCAATTTTGAAGGCTCTGGTCATCATAGAGTAGATGTTTTGATATTTCAATGATGGTCTGTGAAAAAATGGTCCACAAAAGGTTAAGCATAGTAACACTGAAGTGAAGCTATTGTGCTTTTCCCTATTACATCAAGGGCCGTTACATCACAATATGCATATTCGAAAACCCAGTGAACCGTCATTATTTATAGGCGACGTCGTCACAGTTGGCTGGTGAACCGCACCCTGGCAATATCCGTGGAAGATAACTGACACACGTTAAATGTACAGTTCTCAGCACATCGGACTGTGTTATTTTTGCTGCCAAATACGGAGTTAGAACATGACAAATGTAGACGTCACTTAGACTGGATTGAAATATCTTACTTTTAGCCTAGGCGCAGACCACCGACTTTTAGTTGGCCGATAGTTGGGCCCGATTCTAATTTGTATGAAGAATCGGCCGATACCAAATCTGTGTAATGTGCGCACTTCCTTACATCTCCAAACTGACCCAACTATCGGCCAACAAAAAGTCTGTGGTCTGCGCCTAGGCTTAACTACATATAACAGACGTCAAAAGTCTGTCAAACTCTTTACAAGGAACAACAATTTTGGATATAGTTACTGTTAAAGTAAGATGATGCAACTCAGCCTTAGCAACCCGTTGGAAAGTCGACGCGAGGTCTTCATAAGGGTTAGAATCCTGGGTCTAAGCCAGTTATTATGTTACCCAAAAATGAGCAATTAGAATAAGTTACATACCTAATTCTGAAAACTGTTTTATTTTTCAGTTATTTTCAATGAAATTAGAGTTGGAAACATGAAATTAGAGTTGGAAACATGTAATTAGAGTTGGAAACATGAATAAAAGCGCCTATCTACAATCAAGTGAAACAATTTAACTCCGAATTGGGTAAAATTCGTGATAAATGTAAATTTTATAGTAGTTATCATTGACCTTTTTGCGAAATGGACTAGCATTTGATAACCTTCTAAAAATTCCAGTTCCAGTGAAAATTAACCCCTATACCTCTTCAATGTTGAGCGCCATCTTGCGATTTCCAGCGCCCGGACGGAGCAAATGCTCCAACGCCACAGACAGGGTATTTTTTACGCCTTTGTTCATNCTTTGGTGCCATAGTAACAAATGCTAAGGCAGACGTATTCTGTCAGAATACAGCACTTTTTTTTGTTGGCCGGCACTTTTGATTTTGGACCAAAAATATATGAAACGTGGATGATGTCCTTTTTTGTTTGTTCAACTACTCATCCATGATAATCAGATAAATTCTGTTTGACTAAGATTGTGTTATAACTTTTGCCGCTTGATCCTGAAGACAAACCGTAATCTAATAGCAATTATGCCACAGTCTTTATGTCAAGCATAACGGTCTCTTTACGACATAGAGACCGCTACATAATCGCTATGTCTATTACATGAAAAACGTTTCGAGGCCATAAAACCCTCATACAACAGACAGCTTGCCAGTGAATTAACATTATTTTATGAGGCGAAAGTCGCATTAAACGTCGCGAATACTGCTACTCCGTTGGGGTAAATGGCAGGACATTGTAGAAACTATGACTAAGACTGAGTTGCACCATCTTACTTAACAGTAAATATAACCGGTGTTTTTGTATGGAGTTTGACTGAATATTGACGTCTGTTAAAGTTACAGTAAGATGGTGCAACTTTTTTTTATGCTAGACAAACAAGGCAGGTATTTGACCGCTATTTATTTACTCAACCTTAGACTACCGACTTTTAGTCGGCCGATAGCTGGGCTCGATTCTAATTTGTATGAAGAATCGGCCGATATCAATGTGCGCACTTTCATACAAGTCCATACTGATTCAGCCCAAAACCCAACTATCGGCCAATTAAAAGTTTGTAGTATGCAGCTAGGCTAATGGTTTTTAGTTAAATACAGTTTAGTGAGAGCATATTTTTTGTTTTTAATACCTCTGTATCAGTAGTAGATAATTAACGGGAAAACTTAAAATTCTTATTGCAATGTCCTAGAAAGGAAATTCAACAGTTGCAGCTATTAGTTAAAAAGAATTTATAAAATATATTTTCATCAACTTGGAATATTTTCTTGAGGTGACGAAGTTAGACAAGATTATCCCCTGATTTTGAAATAAAATGAAGGTGAGATTAGCCTTGTTTATACCAATGAAGGCTGTGAAGATAAAACTATCAATACAATATGAAAATATCTCTTGATATCAAAACTTGATAAAGGCACCTACCAAAATTACTGTAAACGGGTGTTCTAATAGAAAATCCAATACCTATACGCGCTCTTACCTATAAAGAAGACAATTGCAACTTCTATGACAGATATCTTTCAAAATTTAAATTATAATCCAGTGAATTTCATGCCTTTGGACAGGAACACAAAAGGCATTGCAATAGATGAGCCACGTTCCAAATCTCCTTCCACGATTAAACGTCATTCGTCTATAGTTCCAAAATACTGGACTGTCCTATCGATGACATTGACAGTGGGGCGCCACCGTCAATACCGGATCGCTGGTTCCGATTTTTGCCATGTTGGAAACCATATAGTTGAACGATGGTAGCGCCCCCCTGTCATTGAGGTTGGTGGGACAGTTCAGCGTGGGTCAACTATAAGAGGCACACTCAGCATCAAATAGTGACAACCAAAGTGACCAAAAAGTTGATAACACAACCTTAACGGAATTGTAACAGACGTGTTGCGAACTTTTTGGCTACTTTGGGTGTCACCAGGCCTGCCCCCCTAGACAAAACGCACTTTTTGATCGAATCGAAAATCGAATCCGTCAAATTCCATACAAAAAAGGGGCTTTTCGACCACTTTTCGACTGGTTTGCGATTATAATGGCACTTTGTCTAGACCCACTGCCCCCTAGACAAAACGCACTTTTTGATCGAATCGAAAATCGAATCCTTCAAAACTCCATACAAAAAAGGGGCTTTTCGACCACTTT